AGCTTTCACATTCACAGACCAAGCAAGGTCCTCTTAGTTGTTCCTCCCACACTCACGGCTTCCACACTCACAGACCAAGCATGGCCCTCTAGTTGTTCCCTACTACACTCACAGCTTTCACATTCACAGACCAAGCAAGGTCCTCTTAGTTGTTCCTCCCACACTCACGGCTTCCACACTCACAGACCAAGCATGGACCTCTAGTTGTTCCCCGCTACACTCACGGCTTTTACACTCGCAGACCAAGAAAGGTTCTGAAGTTGTTCATAAACAACAGTCACGCAGATTATTATAGTGTGATATTGCTAACAAGCAAGTTATATGCTGGGACGATGCTTACTAAAGATAGACTACAGGAGTTCTCTACTCACATCCTGCAGCTTCTTTCGCTCTCTCCCATTTTGCATGTCGCTCTCTGGCTCTCAAGCAAACCTCACCCTCTATATATCACATTTACTGATCTCCCTCTTCTTTTTTCTGTTTCTCTCTCCCGTTTCACTCTGCTTCTCTTTTTTCTTTCAATCACTCTCTATATCTCTCTCTCTCCCTCCCTCTCACTTTCCCCTTTTTTTTCTCACGGGCGCACGCACTCATGCACACACGCACACACATACAACACACATGCACGTACACGTGCACACATTCACACATGCACACACACGCACGCACGCACGCACGCACGCACGCATGCACGCACACACACGTACAGACACACACGCATTCATTAGAACCTTCCCACTGCGACCCTCACCTGCTCTACAAAGGCGGCTAGATGTAGGTAGAGCCACTGTCGCGGCTCCTCCGTCTGCTCAACGACGTAATCGAACGCATCTCGTAGTTTCTCACACATCAGCGTCAGGTAGGGGGCGCTGAACGCACACGCGCGCGAGTAGTAGTACGGGATGTTGTGCTGTAGCCACCTGTGTGCACGAGACACGTCGATATGACTACGTTATACCCCTGTATCATACACCTGACCTGTGCACATCATTTGTGAAACATATAGGGCCTCGTTACGTATCTATATGGTATCATAAAAACTATATAAATATTATTATATAAATATAACATATAATAATATACAGTACATATATAATGTTATTATAACTCTTAGATATAATCATATTCGCTTTAAACACATACATACTGTGGGCCATTGCTATATATACATATATATGTATGTACCAGGTCAAAAAATACACGGGAGCGATGAACGATTCGCTCTTCAAACCTCTGAAATCGCTCCCGTGAGGCTCAAAATAGCTCCCGTAAAAATTTTGTGAGATCTTTTTTCCCCACAGACTTTTGAAAAAGAGCTCCCGTGAAAATTTGTTTTCCCCCTGGTATGTACATATATGTATATATAGATATACATACACATATATACATATTGCATATTGTCATACACATACATATATGATTACATATATAGATATAAATCTGATATGAAAATTGAATCACATTCGATTCATCCATTAATCTCTCATATCTTTAGTAAATTCAGACACACAGAGTAGTTAGGGTTCGTGCGTGGGAGCGGCTGGCGGCCACCGCGGTGTCTGTTGTCTGCCTTACCGCCACGACTTCTCCGTGTATGCCTCAGTCCGCTGCCACACATGTTCAGCGACGGCTAGCACCCCCGTATCATGCAGCACTGCCCTCGTCCTGGACCCTGCAACCACACAATAAACAACAACAACAATAACATTAATAATAATAACAAGAACAGCAGCAACTATGATAATAATAATAATAATAATAATAATAATAATAACAATAAGAAGAAAAAGAATAGAAGAAGAAGAAGTAGAAGAAGAAGAAGAATGTGCAGCAAATCGTGCCACTTCATAACAATTCCATAACATAGAACACTGTATGTCTTTCTCAATTAACGAATGAGAATTCAGTATTTGTCAAAATATTATTAGACACAGCATAGGAACCTGGTGTAAGATAAGTGTGTGAAAAGATAGCTCACATTCCACATGACCACAGCTTAACTAACTAGTACGATATATTTTGTCATATTTGTCAACAAATCAACAGAGTAACTATATGAGATACTACACTCACTCTCCAAAACTTTCAATGCCTTCAAAACTTAATCTCACCTTAAACCGGACGATTTTTAAGTCTCAACACTATCCAAGACTGATGAAAGATATGCCTAGAATAGGCCCTTTATAACTGAACTTCACAGTAAACTTAACTAAATGGATGGTCCCGAGGTGGTCAATATTGGGAGAGTTGACTTTATATACTATAGTCTGTAGCGTACAGCAATAACTATATACTCATACAGTGAAACGTGAGTTGCTTCCTCAACCATTTGTGTGATACCAGTGATTCATAAACTCGCGGATAAATATAACATCAGTAGTACATTTGTGAGAGAATAGATGATTTCTTATAACATACTACACAATATATAAGATACAGTGGACCCACGAGATACGAACGGCTCGACATACGAACGACCTCTCGTTGAACGTAATGTATTCGACAAACGAATAAAATTCAACATACGAATGTCTTACGAATCAGCCAATCATGGCATAGGCCTAGCGCCCCAAACACAGCACACAAGTAGCTGTTATAGCATTTCAAGAGTGGAGCGGAAAGGAAAAAGATAAACTGGTGGAGGAGCTGGAGGTCCATCCGGAGGGAGATCGAATCCCACGTCAGAGTCGAGTTTAATACGGTACCGAGAGCGGACTCGTACAGCACATATGAATAAGTGGTGATGTGCAAGCATAGCAACTCTCCATATCAGATCTAAGCACGAAAACTCTCAGCCTGTAACGTAAAATTTACGGGCTATGCTGAGACTTAGCCATATAAGTGAGAGACCGCGCCTCCAGCTTCTGACGGACATGGGTCACGCCTCAGATGCAAAACCACGGTGGCAGCCCACGGAATTTTTTCGAGTAGATGATTCTAGGATAGAGACGAGAAGACCAATGTAAAAGTACGTGGGGCATATCTCGCCTACCCCGGGTAGAGGGGTTATCCGCGGACTTATTGTGTGGCTAGTTACGGCGTGTAGGAGGGACGTGAGAGTGTGAGGGATGAATTAAGTACTTCGTCTTTTAGTTGCATTCTGAAACCCATAAAAGAGTTGCGCGGTTTGGTCTAAACGGAACAGAACCGGGATAACAGCTCGGGGGCCAGACGTTGTGACGAGTCATTACACACCCCCAAGACAAAGCGTTCGTCACTATTCGGCCTCTCACCTTTCCATGGGTGCGTTCGGGGCTGGAATCCGGGGGACCCTTGACAGTTGAGACGTCGAGGGGAGTGCGTGAATTGGCTAGACGAAGAAGTACATAATGACTGAACCAGGTAACTCGATGATGTGTGGTTGGCGCCCGGTAGCCGTGGCAACCAGCGTGGAGAGGCCCGTGCATCAGGGGCCCGACCCCAGACAATCACCCAGTGGCACCTCACGGGCGGCTCCACACCTTCCACGGTCTTCAGGTCCTCCGGGGCGGGAGCATGGATGGCCGAAGTCGCCTAACTAGATAACTACCCTATGCAGCCGTGTGAAGTAAATTGTGAAACCGGCAGAGCATAAAGGAGAACAGTGGGTGCCCGCCGCTCCAGCCCGCACCGCCAACCCACACCTATTCGCCTTCCACAACTCTTTAACCGGTTCCACGGCGGACGTGGGTGGTGCTTCAAGCGGGCGAGCGCTGGGAGGGGGGGAGGGCGAGGAAACACCTTGGGAGTCGCCGAAATGAGCGGGTCATCGGGTACAACACACTAGCGCCTGAAACAATCCAAGGAGGTGAAAGGCACTGAGCCGAGG